GCCACTGAACAGAGCGAGCCACTTCAGCAGATACAGTTCATTTTTCCTGAGAGTTTTGTAATGGGTTGGAATTAGTCTAGAATTTCATTTGTTTGAATTCCCATTACCTACAAGCATTCTGGACTGTCCTTCAGCTCTGAAGGTCACCTTGACTTTCTGTAGGCCTGGAGAGTTGCTCTGACTCTAGAAAAATCCAGGGCAAATTTGTGTGCTGAGCTGATTGCCTGTACAGTCTGCCTTAACATAGCCAGCAGAGCAGTTGGTGCCCTGCTCAGGATTTCTATCATCCCTCACCAGTGCTAGGTCCCAAGTCATATATTCCAGACACAACCTGTTATGCAATGGAAGAGCTATAGGAAGCACCTTTCCTTTTATTTTTTATCTTCCTCAACTGCTAAGCAAATGAAGATACTCAGATTTATCCTGCCTGTTTCCAAACACAGCCCCGAAGTGCTGAAGTTGAGAACAAATTGCCTTTTCCTCTGAAGTCAGTGAAAAGAGTCTAAAACCACGAAGCCCACTTAAGGCTTCTGCCCCTTTGTAGAGGTCTCCGCCTGGGTGACACTGGAAACTTCAATGAAGGGTTCCTAATAGGAGAAGTAAGCAGCTGATCAACAGCAGTTGTCCTGGCCTCCTCTTGCAGCCCCTGTAACAGAGCGGTGGCCATCAGAAGTTGGCTCTGAACAGCCCGCTGCTGATACAACCTTAATTTCCTAAGTCTAAGCATTTCTGCCAGTGAGAGGCATTTATCAGTGAACTGCTGAGCAGATCCAGATGGATACGGTTCTCTTTTTGTTTGGAATGGAAGGTAGGTCTAGAAAAAGGGGACAGATGGGGGTCATAAAGGGGTCATAAAGAAATCTAACATTTATTTTATAAAGCAATCTATTGGTCCTACTTTTCCAGTACTTAAAAAGGCAGGTGAGTGCACCTGAGAACTGAGTGCAGGAGCTTTTGCAGGACTGGAACTGACCATCTAACATTACTCTCAGTCTAAGTGGAGTTCACTAACTGACTATCATTATTACATTTTTAGATCAGTCAAAACTGGGGAAAAGCTTTACCAAACAGCCAGTGCACAACCAAGTACTCACTTGATGATGGTACTTCCTAAGTTGAAGATAGATGTGCTGAGTATGCCTGTCAACTGCCTTCAGACTTGACTCTCAGAGGTACTGCATTATTCCCCTTCCGACACACCTTCTGTAGGGCTGCAATTCCAAAAATCCTGCTGCTTCTCCAGAGCCATCAGTGGATTTCTTCTGGGCATGAACTGGGCCAACGACATTTTCAGATAGGGCTGGCCAGATGTAGTCATTAGAAGAACTAGGGCAACGCAGTGTGTTGTTAATGGAAGAAACACAGACCCCCAGGGGAAAATAGGAACATCAGGTTAGTTGGTTACCAGCTGACTCCTTATCAATAAGTGATGGAGCAGAAGGCAGAGCTGTACTACGCATGCTGAGGCCACTGTCACATGGACAGGCACTGCACTTGGGTTAAAACTCCAGAGCCACATGAAAGCAGAACATGCCTGACACCCCCTGTTTTTTTGTTTGTTTGTTTGTTTGTTTTCTTCAGTTCTGCTTCTCACATTACACCCGCCCACCCAACTAACCTGCTCAGATAAATGAGCTTAGCTGAGTCCCACCTCGGTGAGCCCCAGGCCCCGGGAGCTGGTGCTGGCTGGCCAGGGCGGCTGCAGGAGCAGGGCTTTTGTGAAGTCCTAACTTGCTGGCCAGGTGTGCGTGCCCTGCCTTAGGTTGATACGATCACAAATTACAAATGATTCTTTTTACCACCTCATACGAATGAAAGCCATCAAAAACAGGCTGAATATTTGATCTAACATAAAATGAAAGAAAAATACACCCAACCTAGTAATAAGCATGCTTTGGGAAGTCTGCTTTGTTTGCTCTGACCAAACTCCGTGCCCGGAGCCCACAGCTGGACAGCCAAGAGCAGTCTGACCGTTATTTAAAGGCTTGGTAAGGTCACAGTGGCCTGAGCCTCTAGGGTCTGAATTAATCTCCCTGGCGAAGCAGCGTGCTTGCGCTCAGCTGCGTGTGCTTGCAGGTACATTTGTGTAGAGCAATGCCATCCAGTGGTTGCTCAGATTCATCACAAAGCCAACGGCTCGTTCCTCAGGGACACTGCGTAAGCTGAAATGTTGCTGCTCTTGTTCCTAGCTAAGGTATTGCTTGGGTATTAAAAGACTCTGAAAGTGGCCAGCTTGATTGCTTCCAGCTTGTCCTTTGGCATGTAAAACTGAGGTATGTTTTAACTAGCAGCCAACTGAAAATATTAAATAGATGTTTCAGGGGAAACAGTATTTTATATATGCAGTCCAAATACACAGTTAGCATCAGGCCTGGATTTTGGAGTGAGGAGTAACTGCGTGCAGTCACGTGGCAAATTATGCTGATTGCTGAGACAAAAACACAGTCTCTGAATGTAACTTTCCTGCTGGCCAAAGAGGTTGCTCAGTGGGACATTTTTGCTTGAGGATGATGCCCTGATGAAGGGATGGACCAGGGCTCAGACCTTCTCCATCGGTGTCACATTTTGAAGAGCCCTGGTGCTGTTGACTACTCAAGGAGGTAGCATTTGGGGGCCTTAAATCTGCCTGGCTGCATCTCCCAAGGACTCACTATCGCATCATGGCAATGATGTACAGGTCAACACCTCACAGGGGCTAAATTAAGATGTCAACAGTTTTTGCCTGTTGCACTCCCCAGGCCAGACGGAATTGCATAGACAAGGAGGATTTCTCATATCAAACACCGTGGCTGGGACTAGAGCAGCTGCTCAGCTTGCAGAGCATCGCCTGACCTGCTGGGCACGGCCCGTCCCCAGGGCGCTCAACAACAACTTTCCGAAGGCTGGAAAGGTGCGCTGCGGGAGACAGGCAGGGCTGCTCTCACCGAGGGGCTGCCCTTGCAGCTGGGCGGCCGCACCCCCTGGGTCTGACCCTCCTTTACGCTCGGGCCTCTTCGTGCTCCACCAGGTGCCCGCGTGCTGCTGCATTTCAGCGCTGTGCCGCTCCTGCTCTGCAGTACAAATTCCAATCAGGCGCGACAAAGCCCACCGGGTGCTGCTGACAACAGGTGTCTCATTAAACATCTCTCAACCTTACAGGCATTCGCATTGACAAGAACCAAACTCACACTCAATCACAGCTTAATCACAGCCAAACTCTATTAACAAGTCATACTAATTACCAACTTCTAACAATTTCTCAGGTTCAGAGGCAAAATATCCTTTCTTTATAGATGAAAACAGACTTGTGATACTCCAGCTCTGGCCATAATTAGGTCCTTTTAAACAAAACAAAACTAAAATAAAAATCCAGAAGGATCCCTTTGTGATAACAGTCCTGAAAGTACAGTTGTACAATGAGATGTTTGTTTGTTTTAATTTTGTATCTGCTGTGTTGCCCACAAGGGTCCAATTAGCTTGTTACAGATGCTTGTATCAGTTTTATCCACTTGTCTTATTTTTTTTTTTTAAGAGGGGTAACTTGTAGCACAGATTGCTGGCCTGCAGGCATCCAGAGATCAACAACCAGCTTTCTGTGATACCAAGCCCCCTGTGAAACAGGCAGTCCTTCCCCACAGCATTCGTAATGCAAAGGGTAAAAGGAACAGAGGGAAGGGAGGGGTCTGCACTGGATTTTGGATTGTTGTGGAATAATCTGGTGTGTCAAAAGTGGCCGAAAGATGGCAATTCTGCCATGGCTAAGAACGGCCATGAGAAATTTTGGTTGTTACACCTCAGAAATTAAAATGCACGTTTTATTTCTAATAGCATGAAGTGCTGCCTTGCAACAAAACAGGTAGTTCTTAATGTGTGGCTTGGAATTGTACATGTCAGTATTTATTCTTGTCCCTTGGTATGTTTAGCACATGTGTAATTCTGTGTTAACCTGGATGCTTTTCTCCATTGTGTGGCTGTATTGAGTGCCTGAGTACTTGAGAACTCACTTGTGTAATCGATACGCTTACAAAAGGGTACATATAAATAACAGGAAGAATCTGACTTGAGCTGACAGTGGGGGTATTGCAGCGAGGGCTAATGCTTCATCCTTAACTCATGCTGCTGCTGGAGAGGAAAAAAAAACCACAACACAACAGCCTGAGTGAAGGGCTAACATAAGACTTCCTCGCATTTTCTGAGCAGTGTTGTTCAAAGGAGAAATCCTCCTCCCAGTGTCTGCTGTGCCAAATCCAGTAGCCAGTTGTTTACCTGTTCTCGGGTTTAGTTGCTGTTTGCTTTTCCTCTCCTTAATTTTAAAAGGAAATTAACATTTGTCATGGAAGATTATAATGCCAGCTGAGCAGAGAATCACCAACTTGAGGCTTAGTATCAGCAATTATTTTTACCTCAGAGCAGGTAGTTTCATTTCTTCAGTGAGGTGATGCAGGATGAACACGGGATGCCTGAAGCTCCTGGGAAAAGGCTGCACGTCCCAGAGGTGGACTGGTGCGATGTGGGATCCCCATGCGGCTCACCCTGAGGGTCACTGCCTGATGCGGCAGCTCCATGGAACCACAAGCATCCGAAAGCACCTGCAGAGAAGCAGAGTGGCATCAGGCTGTGGAGCAGAAGACAGGAAATATACCCACATTCACCCCCTTAGCACAGCCCCATGAGCTCTGTTCTTTGCTTGCCTGTGCTGCCCGAGCCCAGCTGTAACCCTGGGGGGATGAAGAGTAATGCAATGAGTAACAGTAATGTAAGGGGGGAAATGGTTCAGAAATTGTTACCTGCCATGAGCTGAATGGCTTGGGTTTAAGGTTCAGTGTTGAAGGCTTTGTCTCATAAGGGCACAGCCCTCTCGTGCTGACACTGCCATCCTCTTCCATCCCAGGGCTGGCTGCACAGGATGAGGTGAGCGGGGCCTCCAGAGGATGGAGCCCAGGAGACCATGGAGCGAAGCAGTCCGTTGTGTTTCCAGGTGCCACACATAATACAAAGCAAAGTTTTTTCTTCACTTTCAGGCTGAAGATGGATCAGGCCAGTGTTTCCCTGCTCATCAGCCTCCTGCACGAGCTGGCAGAGGTTTCCCAAACGCGATTCGGCAAGGAGAGGTACCAGAGAGGGATGGGATACAGCTGAGTAAAGCTGCAGGTGAGTAACTGGGAAATCCTGGTGAGGCTCCACATGGGTGCTTCTTCTACCTGATGGCACAGTGAATCTTTCATCATTACTGTTGGTGCAGCAGGGCTGGTACTGCAAAAATGTCACCTCTAATGAGGGCACTCGTGTTTCTATGACCCTGATTAGACCTGCTTGGAGTGGCCAGACTGCCGATGACAAGTGGCATCTGTCATCTCAGTGTAGGTGAGTTTCTGAGTCTCTCGAACAGGGAGAAATAGCAGGATTTTAAAATTTGTCTGTTTGTTTATTTTCGGTGAAAACGCTTGTATTTGGTGTAAGGCTCAATCCAATGTCTGAGTAGCAGGAGGAAAAACGAAATGAAATATCCACAAGCATTGGAATAACCATAGGAACATTCATGAAATGTTTCATCAGGGGAAAACAGGAGACTTTGCTTAGCCATAGTCTCATTCCCTTTCATAAGAGGCTTCAGACCAGAGCAAACCAGGCATTTTTCCTTGCTTTTGCCACAGTTTCAGCATGGAAGAGGCTAGCAGGGTTGATGCAGACTCCCCAGTTTGGTTCTGGTTCTGTGTTCTGGAGCAGCAGTGAGCAAGCCCAGTCCGATGACATCTGGCTTTTTAGGGAGTGCACACGACCTACTGAGCTTCTCTTTGGAGTAAAGTTTTCTTTCTTCCTCACGGATTTTTAGTGTTCCTGAGATTAAAAAAAAAAAAAAAGAAAGAAAAAATAAATCAGAACAATTGAAGCTGTACTGTTTAGTGGAACCATTGCTTCTGATCAGAAACTGAAATCCTACTTTGTGCTCTTCCAGTGTGGAAATCTGTCAGGTAAATAGAAATCACCTCGTAAAAGCCCCTAAACAGCTCTGTTTTATATTTTAATTGAGGAACAGAACATTTTAAGTACTTTTATTGGGTGGCGCCTGCTGAATGACAGATGTCCATGGCGGAGTAATGCTGAGCACACTTTCATAAAACAGGGCAATTCCTTGCTTAAAACATTTACAATTAAAGGCTTGATTGAATAACAATGAGTTCTGTGCATGGAGCTCATTTCTGCACTTGTTTGTGCACCTGAATCAGGCTGTGATCATTCGGTAGGTTGGATATGAGGTGCCAGTTGCTTTGTTCAATGACCAAATAGTGCTCACGGGCACAGCTGGAAACGTGCCTTTGATTTTTCACCGGGATAGAGATAAGGTGCACTGTGCTGTGCTGTTAGACTTGCTAACACCCTCATTTCAGCTGGAAGGCTGTTTTTTTTGTGGTGGTTGTTGTTATTTTGTTTTCTACTGCTTGTTAGTAACTTTCCCAATTTGTAAAGAGCCAGAGATTTAAAAATGAGCAGTAATCCTTAGCAGCTGAGAAGGTCTTAACTAGTTTCTGCTTCGTTTTTCTATCTGTCTCCTGTGACCCCTATTACTGTGATACCACCTCTCTTCATGCATTGATCCTCGCAATATCTGAGGGAAGGCAGGCCAGCATTACTGTTACTTTATGCAGCCCTACATGGGGAACTAAGGCATGGAGAGATCAGGGATTTGCCCAGAGATATTCTGCAAAAAAGGGTCCCAGTGCTCTCAACAGAAAACCCGTCCATGGATGGTATTTAGATTTTTGCCTTGTGAATGTAGAAAGAGACTTAAAGAAAGCATGAAACAACCAACAGCAAACGGGGTGGCAGGGCACAAACCACAAACTTTCACAACTTGTTGAAAAACACCGTGTCTAAACTGACATCAGCACAAATTTGCGACGGCACAGAAAATCCTAACAGGAGGCACCTGAATGTGGGAAGAGCAGCCCCACTTTTCTTCAAACAGATGACTCCACAAAGTAGCTCTTGCCACAGCATGCAGAACATGACATGGGAACAGCAGAAGGCAAAATGTGTCACAGGAAAATTGTGCCACATTCAGCCCAGGAGGACACCGTGCAAACTGATGCAAAATTAAATCCAATTGATAAGGTAACACATACACAATTTACTCAGTTTATTAGATATTGAATACATTTATATTTAATTATTATAGTGCCTCAAAATTCTCTTGGTGTCCATCACAAGCTCTCTAGGGTCTTTCTTTGTTGAAGTAAAGAGCTAGACACATTTTCACCAGGCCCAGTCCTGTATCCCCTTTTCACCAAGGTGCTGACATCAGCTGGGCTCCTTGTGGGGGACGGTCCCAGTGTACCAGAATCAGGCCCCGTGCTGGCTCAGCTGCCTTCCCTGTGGTGGCAGTAGCCCGCCTGCTGCCGACAGAAGAACTAGTAACTTTCTACTTTTACATGATAAATCCATCTCTGGATTCTTGAATTGCTCCAACACGTACCTCCAGTGCCAGGAAACTCCTGGTGCCATTCCCAGCTGCTGGGGTGCAGACCCCACAGCCTTGTGCCAGCTGCACTAAAGCACAGGCTGCCCCACTTACCTGCAGAAGCAAACAGACATTTCCAGCTACCTCTAAACCCAGCACAGGGTGGAAAAAATCATGTTTTGGTGCTGTAATTCTTGGAATAAAACAGGTGGCCTGATCCTGCACCCACAGTCATGACTGAGCTGAGTGCAAGCAGAGGAGTCAGGCTGGAAACGTGCTGGGGGTGCTGAGGACCCGGCTCACAGGCCTGCCTTGGAAAAGGGTCAAGACAATCTCACACAGGGCACAACTCTGTTAGTTTTGTTCTTGTCTTTTATGTATATATATTTTAGAAAAAAGACAGCATTGGCTCTTTTCTGAAATGCTGTTCTGCTATGTATGAGAAATGAGAACATGGCAGTGTAAAGGGAAAGAGTGCAACGCATCTGCTACAAGCCTAAATAAATACCAAGCTCTGAAGAAGCCTCACCCCATTTTGTTTTTTACATGAGTAAGGTGACTTCTACCAACAGAGTTTTATTTCACAAACTTCTCCCTTTCATTGTCAGCTATTCACAGCTGCTTCAGACTGAACAATAATGAATAATAATAAAAAATATTCATTATTCATAATAAAAAATAGTAGAAGAGAGATAATCGTTGAGCAGGATGTATACTGCTTGTGAAAGTTACCAGGTCTTTTTAAGAGTAAGTCTAGTCCCCATGTGCCCTTTACTCTGCAGGATGTGCTCTTTCAGCCCTGGTGGTGGCTGAGAGGTGTCCTCTGCCATCCTAACACCACAGCCTCAGCTGGGCCATCGGCATTCCTGGCGGTGCCCCACTGAGCGCGATGCGGGTTTTGGGGAAGGTGCAGCCAGAGCTCGAGTCAAAGCACAGCAAAGTCGAAGTGAATCTTTCCAGGGAAGCTGGGATGTGAAATGCTCCTGGGTTTCTTTGACAACGGCAAAATGAGTCCTTTTGCCGTATTCCCCAGGCGCTCTCCTAGACGTCTACCAGTTACACCCTTCCTTCCCGCCTGCAATTAGCACTTACAGTGTTGCAAAGGGAGATGAGATTCGCTCTCCGCCATCCTCCTTCAGAAATCTCTCACACCTTCCCCACTGGGTGGGAACATGCGCTGTGGGTTAGGAAATATCCTAGTAGTGGAATTACATTTGCAGCCGTCCTACCCCCCACCTCCTCTTTTCTTCTGTTAGACTCTGGTCCTCGTCGTGGTATAGGAGCACGTGAAGACAAAAGCCCAGAAAGAGCATTTGGTTCAGCAAAGCCCCAAATCTCCCTGACTTTGTTCACCCCCTGGAATTACATATGCACAACTTGGCCCCCGTGTGTTTCGTGCAGGGTAACTGGAGCTGGGTAAGTGCCTGCAATTTTGGTGGAAGAGTGGGGCGAGGAGAGAGGTGGGAGTATACGATCACTGACCTTAATTACAGGAGATAAAAATGTTGAAACGTGATTCCTACAAAAACCAAGGAGGGCCTTTATCGTCAAGTGTTTCCACATGGATGCCCCTGAGAAGAGGTCAAGTGTTTTCTATATACTTTAAGTAAACAGCAGATTGTGAGTTCACAGTCTGGACTGGATTTGAGCAGCCTCTGTATTCTGCAGCATCATAATTGAGTCTTATGTACTTAAGATTTGATATCCACCAACATTATTACTTGAGATTTGCCAGGAAATACATTGGCGATTAAGAGTTACACAGTTTGCTAGTAAAGCTATGCCTAATGTCATATATGACTAACCTCAGGCTAGAACTGTCTCGGGCTCCCACTCTAACAGAGGAGCAAGGATGGTTTCCCTTCAGAGTCACTGCTGTTGGTGGCTTTCTGATCAAGACGTCTCCTCGTTTCTTCATCGTCATGTAAAAAATGCACACAACCTGCACAATTAAATTTGCTAAATGGTTATCTGTCAAGAACAGAGTGCTCCGAATAAGGTAGCGTATGTACATGCTGCTGCGAAGCATATCAAGCCAAGTTAAAATGTTAGGCATAACATTCTCCTGTTCACCTTTGCAGCTATCCAGGCTGAAGGTTAAGAAGACTGAAAGTGGTGGATTTGTATCAAAACCAGCTCAATTTCCCTACCTGGAAGCGGGACAACAGTGAAATCAGAAATTACAGGCTTACTGCCTTCATATCTGCAGATGTAGCTCTACAATCAGTGCGAGCTGTTCCAGCATTAGCAGGTAGCAGCGTTCACCACAGGTGCTCCACGTCTCCTCCATGCCCTAACCAAAGACTTGTTTACAGACAGGGAAATGGAGCCAACGGGTGATGATCCAAGTGCCACAAACCGCTGGCAGGCCATCCAGAGCCCCCGATTAGACCCAGCAGACCTAGTAACTTCTGCAGCTATTACAAGCAGGAAGAAAGGGCAGGAGTGCTCGTAGGGGCCTAATTGGAAACAGGCGAGTCACTGGGAACCTTGCTGTCCCTTCAGCAGGGCTTTACACGATGACTGCAAACAGTCAGGGCCCAACTTCTGTACGGTGTAGTGCTGCGAGGAAGGACTGAGGCATGAAGCTCGGGAATCAAAAATCCTTCTTCCCCTGTCTGCATCTGCCTGACAAAAGGAAAAAGAAAGGGCAGCTGATTTGTGAATGCTGTCTTGCTAGAACTGTGGATTTGAAATCTCTGTCCTTGATTAAAGAGGAGAATGCAATTGCACATGTCATTAATTATTACTGATAAACCAAAGTAGTGGAGTCAAATAAAAATATCCTGCCCTATGATCAGATTCTGGCAAAGAGAAAGACCCAGGAGCCTCCAGCCTATTAGCATTTCCCTTTTTTTTGTGAAATATGTGTCTGAATCGCTAGGTCTCCAAACCTTGCGTGTACTTAGCGTGCGTGATGCCTATAGGTGCAGATCAAAAGAGATGAACTTTAGCTACACAGACAGCAAAAAGCAGCTTACAGTTCCTGTAACATGTGACCAGTCCCAATTATGGCTTCTTCCACATGACATCAGTATGCGATGGAGGATCTCACTTTTTTTTTCTTGCCAGAGGCAAATGAATACATTATCCAGCAGTGAGGCGTGGGGCAAGCGGATGCGTAACTCTGGGGTGATTTGGATTCCGCGCTCGCGCGGGGGTGTGAGCCAACCTCAGAAGTCATTTTCACTGATGCTGACACATAAGGCATCCCTCAGAGACCTGTCTATCAAACTGCAACATGCTATGCAGAAAAATTAGATTACTCATGCTACAATAAAGAAGAGAAGATGACAATGATGAAAAAAAAAAAGACTTCAAAATATAACAGCTATTTATGAAATGAATAAAAATCCTAACAATGGGAAAGTATCCTAGAGACTTTTTATTTATTTATTTTAGCTCTTGCAAACCATTTCGAGGAGAGCTAGTTGGAAAGACCGTATTAATTCAGACACCGCCTCTGGAAAAAACACCACTTCATCATGATTGTCACATTACTGTACTTGTGAAATATCATCTTAAATACTCATTATGATTTTGCTGCTGGTCTTGCTGCAGTCAGCACCAGGGCTTCCTTTGGCTTTGGTAAGTGCAGGATCAGGCCCTCTCTCTCTCCCTCTCTCCCTCTGAATTGCAAATGGATTGTTCACGTGTCAGCTCAGTAACTAGGCAAAGTTCACCGTGCTCAGTTCAAAGCATGCAAGAAGAAGCTCAGGGCATTTCACTCACAGTATTTGCAGAGTTCCTCAGGTCTACAAAAGTGTTAAAGTGGTTTAATACAAAATCCATAAGACAAACATTATGCAGCTATGTGTGAACCCCTGTCCAATAAAATCTATTTCTTTGGGAAAAAAATACAAAGTAGTAAAACATACTTAGTAAAGAAAAGAAAAGGCTACGTGAAGCTTAGTAAAATCCCATAAAACAGAATGCCGAACAGCTTCAGGAAGGGAGATTTAAAATAAATCTGCAGAAGAACATGCACACACACACACAGAGCCCGTAGCTGGAAATGGATCTGGACAAGTGCCGAGGTTAGAACATCTCCCGCAGCACTGTGGGACTGGTTTTACAATATCAGATAATGAAAGGTTTGGCTGAATGCTGGTTTTTCTTCTCTAGTAATAACAAACCTATGCCGAGGCTTCTGTGGTATTCCTCGAGTTACTCCCCAGGAATGCTATTTGGGAAAGCTAACAGATTTTAAACTCCACCTGCCCTGACTCATCTATTAGCCGCACTACTCTCAGCTGCACGTTCTGTTTCACTTATTGTTTCTGAAGGAGCCAGTTGTTGTATGTTGGTTTGATTTGTGAAGCAGTTCCAGCCCATTTCCCAGGGGGTTTACTTCCCTGTCTTGATTGTCTCCTCCAAATATTTCTTCCCAAAGATAAGTTTTGGTTCCTATCCAAACCAGAAGAGGAGTACCGTAAGCTCTTCTCTGGTCCTCCATCTTGTGCATCCTCATTCCCCAGCGTGTGACACCGCTCTGCCAAGTGGTGTGATCAACCAGACTGCAGGCTTTATGCCTGCCTAGGAGATTTGGAGGTTTCACTTCTTTTTTGGGCTATGGCTGCTTAATAGAGATGTGCGATTTCAACATGCCCACACATAGTGTGAGTACGCAGAAATATAGGTCTCTTTAAAATTGTCAGGAGCAAATATGATCAGATCTGGTTCTTGATCTCATTACTGTCTGAAAGATTTGGCTGGCATTTTTAAATGCCATGATTTATGTTCTTCACCTTAACACGGCCCTTGGTAGTGTAAACCCAGTAACTCTATTATTCTCCAGGGCAACTTCTAAGAATCTGATTGGAGAACTTTCACAACACTGTGTCTGTAAGAAAATATTAACATGGATTAAGACAAGTTGATAGATATTAAACCAGGCTATAGAATGAGAACCAGTGAGAATAAATCAAATAACTTTGCCTAACTACAGAAAGTATTTGTAAAGCCCTGTAAGGTTTCCATTTCCTAAAGCCACCTGCCATCTCAAGTGCCCCTAATCAGTCACAGATGTTGGATACCAACCTGCTAACCCTATGGCTTTGAGAGAAAATATTGCACTTTGTAAACTCATTCTTGGGTATTTCCTTAATTTTTCTTAAACTAAACTTTCATCCCTTATTTTCCACTTAAATGTAATGAGTTATATCAACTCTGACATTTTGCCCTGCTTACTCTTACAGTTCAGTTTAGCTACCTCTCGAAGACCTTAGCTTCTTTTTTCTTTTTTTTTTTTAATCACTAGGGTACATTTTTACTCTGCATCTCACCATCGCCTTCCTGGCACTGAGGAATCCAACAAAATGCAGAGTTTAGACTTTTTCTGTAATCAGTTCCCAACAGAAAAGTTCCTGTTCTTCTGTTCTTAACTGATTTTTATCTCCATGATGAAGATCTACCAAGTAGGAAGCTTTTCTGAAGTACTTTGGAAACAACAACTATATATATATAGAGAGAGAGAGAGAGAGAGAAAATCCATTCCTTAAGAAACCAGAGACATTTTAGGAGCCTCATCCAGCTCCCACTGGAATCAAAAGCAAGAATTTCACAGATGAGGGAAGGTACCAAAACGGGCCATGCTGCCGAAGACCGTTAGCTGCTGTTAGGATATACCGGTACTGAAGCACGACGGTGGGTTTGGCTTTGCTCTGGAAGGAGGCTTTATTCCACTTCAGCTTGTGAAGACAGAATGGGAGTGAGAGTTGTAATGGAGGTAGGAAGCAGACTGGATTTTATTAGTCTTCCATCATCTTTAAGAGATCTCTAACCAGATCAGGTTTCAACCTCTCCCTCCACTCTTGTGTCAACCTTTGGTTCTGTTTTTGCTGGAGGATAAGTTTCATTATATTAATAAGCAGCACAAGTGGTTCCAATTGTGGAAGAACCACTTGGAGCTGTCAGAAATGATCAGAGGAGAAGTTTCAACCTTTCCATGATCACAGCCTCTTCTTCTGGTGCCACAACTCAGCACCTCCCCGGTGCACTTCACATTGCTCAGCAACCATGACAATAATAAAAGGTACATTTACATTTCAGTGAGTGTAGATTATTTTAAGGAACTTTATTCTCTAATCATGGTAGTACAGCGATGCTCATAAACCAGATGCTAATGGGAATAATTCGGCTAACATCCAAACTACTGGCTGGAAGACTAGATCTAGGCACGTACTTGGATGAAACTATTCATTTGCAACCTTCTACTGCAGTCACATTTCAAACACAAACCATGCCACTGAGTTTGCGTTTCTTATTACTAATACATAGGTGATGAGAAAAACTCACAAAAAATACCCCAAAAGCTGAAACTGTTTGAACTGCATCGTGGAGTGATTCCTTACTGCTTACCAGCAGTAATGCTAAGTATTTGTCTAGCTCACATCTCAAGGAATGCATTTTAGTTAGAAATTAAAGAATCCCTCTTCAGGTGAAAATACCACCAGATTAACTTTGCAGATAGCAAGGCAAAGCTGCAGGGCTGGGGACTGGGATCGTGGATCCACCAGGAAATGACAGAGCCCCGCTTCTCCTCAACGGGTTCCTCCACTGCCCTGGGAGGAACTGAGTGAAGTTTAGTTTCCCAATTAGACTCACCTGGGACTAGTCACTGAAATGTCATCCATGAGATGGAACAAAAAAAGAGGGGAGAAATGTAAAAGGGAATCTTTGTAGCCAGGACTACCTGACTCTCCCACAGTAGGAGACACAGGAATACCGTTTCATGTCATGGAGATGTAGTTAAAATGCAGACTGCATATCCTTGTTCTCAGAATTTGAGAGGTGTGGTTTATGCATGTGGACAAGCCATCGTTCCTCCCTTTGATCTATCACTTGATGTACAGAAAGGCTTTTATGTGCTAGTCCCATATAATGGATAATTTAGTCTGAAACCATTATGAAAAGTATTACACTTTGGGTACATATGCTTCAATTATTCTTGAAAGTACATGGAAATATTTTATGACATTCACATATATTTCAAGGTAAGAAAAAAAAAACACAAAAAGAAAAAAACAGAATTTTTGTTTACCATCCAAACAAATTTGTTCTCCCAAGGCAAGTTTATATGTATTTTAAAAGAATTCTGCCATTTTATGAAAAATATTTTAAGGCAGAATGTAAGTAGTATTTTTGAATGTTAAATAGGAAAAACGTTAAAGTCATCATTCATTAAAACTACTAGTGGTATGTATTGCTCTTTAGCTGTGCATTTTTATTCTGTTTATGAATAAAACTACTTAACAAGTAATAAATACAGATTTAAATTCTCCTTGTTGAAGTGCACTTATAGCTGAACTTTCAAATTAATCCTACCACCCTTTTACAAACAGAGCTGGCCAGAGGGAGACCTGACAGAATTTTCCATAAAACCACGAGCTGCTGCTATGACCTGAGACATGCTGCCAGCGCGCAGGGCTGCAGTATCCCATAGGAACAGAAGGGCATTTGGGAAGGTTTTTTTTTTTTTTTTTTTTTTTCAGGAGGATGGTCCCCTTGTTTGTTTTCTTCACCAAAGATGCTCCAGATATCAGATCTAGGAGCTGGCGACAGCTGGACACCAGTCAGAGGCTAATGCTGACAGCAGTGTCAGGGCTGTGCTCACGCAGGTCACCGGGCCTTGTGCCTCGGTTTCCCTATCGCTCAGTTAAGCATCTTCATATCAGACATTGTTTTTTCAACAAGGGAAACTATCTTAGCGTTGAATTTTATATCTATTGTCTTCTACTGAGTAAAAGGATAATAGCTGTGGCCTTCACATAGTTAAAAGATGGGATCAACCCCATTTCATGGCAGTGTTGGTGGGAGATACCGCCCTGTAACACCTATGACCTGATACGCGAGGCTGTTGGCATTGCTAATTCAAATAGCTCAACTAGAGGGGAAAAAGGTGTTTAGCTTGGAGGTATTCCGAGCGTCACAGACAGCAGGGGACACTCTGAAGAGATGTCCTGCTAGCCACTCCATCCCTGCTCTCACAGCCACGTAGTCCACGCTGGCCCACTCGCCTTGCACATCACCCTTCTGCAGGAGGTAGGACTCAGGGCTGTGACCAGTGACTTCCTGAGCCCTATGGGTAGAAACTGCATCCGCAGCTCCTGGTTTCCAAACCTTAAGCCCTGGTGGGGACCAGACACGCTGAATGGGTCCATCTGCACTAGCCACCCTGACCCACCTTACAGCCAAAAACCAGACAAGGAGCAGCAGCTGGTCACACAGTGCAGCTCAGTGCAAGCTACTAGCCCCCAGTGTTTCCCAAGGCCTGACTTCACTCGTGCACTGCCTGCACAAGCCCTTTCCCACACGACATCTGAACTGAGCCTCAGCAGCAGTGCCCGGGCTCTGATCGCTGACCCAGCCTT